ATCACAAGAACCTCACCAGTCCCCAGCTCAAAATCGAATTCATGACATATTTATGTCTCATTAAATTATACATACATATCTAATAACGTTCACCCTGTCATTAGCGTTGTAGGTGTAACACATTATGATAAAAATATTGTCATTTTTTGACCCTATGAGTTGGTGAAGCGATCAGCATTGTTGGATGCAAGTTTTCTACTCATCTCATTCTCCTGCTACCACCATGTTCAGGAAGCACATGCTACTGTGGATGGCAGTGTATGTTGAGCTGATATGGCGTCTAATCTTATCTGTGGGGATCAACGGTGGTCTGCTTCAGCTTCATATGTACACAAGTAACTACCTGCAGGAGTGTAAACATTCAGTCTAACATCAGCATTTTAAGGAGCAGCATGTAAAACACATCGCAACTAAACATTGATTTGGAAATGCATTGTTTCATTTTCTTCTAGCAGCATTTGGGAGTCAGATGGTTTTATTATATTCAGCATTAATGGCTGTAATTCTGTCTATGCTGTCATTGTTATCTACACTGTCATTGGCTTCCAGGCAACAGAGCAATTTGATGTCTGTTTAATGAGTATGGACATAAAATATTGCATAATTTATTGTAGTCGATCACGGTAAACTAAAAGCAAATCTGCGACCTGAATGTGCACACCGTTTAAATCACTTTTTAGACATTTATGCTCCTAAATTTCTTCTTTCAGAAACATTGTCATGGTGCATTTAATCTAGCAGCGGGGGCCATCCCAGTCAGCAGTTCTGGTAAAATGCTGCAAAAGCTCAACAGCGCAGCGTCGGGGTCAGAGGTCATTCAAGAGCTCAGTTTACTCAGTGATGCTTGGTGTTTTTGAGCCATCATGATGAGCTATGTATTTTTTTCATTCCTTTGTCCATCACATGCTGCAGGCTGTTGTGCCCTTGTGTTCCAGCACGTGGAGGCAACGGTATCATGGCGTTCATCACAAAGACGCACGTTTCTCCAGACATGGTGAAGAAGCAGAGAAAGAAGAACATACTGAAAAAACAGCAAAGACCTGAGAGGAGAAACAGGGAGTGGTGGTTCCTCTGCAGGACCTAGAACCTTCCTAAAGAAGTGAACTAAAGATCGCCTTAAAGGTACAAAGTCATACAGACACATTGCCTAATGTGTTGACTGAATACATATTTTGGGGAGGGGGATTTTTTTGACAAACATCCATCCATCCATCCATTATCTATACACCGCTTAATCCTCACTAGGGTCGCGGGGGGGGCTGGAGTCTATCCCAGCTGACTTAGGGTGAAGGCAGGGGACACCATGGACAGGTCACCAGTCTATCACAGGGCCACACTTAGAGACAGACAACCAAGCACACTCACATTCACACCTACAGACAATTTAGAATCACCAATTAACCTCAACATGATTTTGGACTGTGTGGGAGGAAGCCGGAGAACCCGGAGAGAACCCACGCTGCACGGGGAGAACATGCAAACTCCACGCAGAAAGATTCCGGTGCCCCCACCGGGACGCGAACCGGCGACCTTCTTGCTGCGAGGCAACAGTGCTAACCAACTGCGCCACCTTGCAGCCCCTTTGATAAACATAATTACTTTAAATATTGTTCTGGATATTAGGAAATTCATGCCTCTCATCGTCTGTGATCAACCTCATCTTTGCCCTGCGATATCGTAATTATTACTTTGCACTGTTTGACAGCTATGCAGGCTCCCTTCTGTGAGATGACTGGTGTTGCCTCTGTCTGTATTTAATGCATATATAAGATACTATTGCTGAGCCCTTTGCAATATCTAAACCTCTCAGTTAGAGCAAATGTACAGTATCTAACTTATATCAATGTATTAAGTCACTACATAACGCTCAGTTCTGAGTCACATTTATTCTGTCTGGCAGATCTAACAAAGAAAAGGAGTTCATGTTTGGACACACACCCAACATCCAGCAGGACACTAAAACAGTGGTCAGGCCTTCGATTGTCTTGGTCATCTTTGTGTTTTACTTTGTCACCAAAATCAGCACCTGGAATCCAAGCTCTGTGTCAGGAATGGTTACACTCAAATCTGTCATTCTTATGAAAAAAATCATTCAGTGATTGTGTATTTTTATTCTTTGTCATGGTTGCAGGAAACTTCCCTGTAATACAGACACTACCCTGCCCCAACTGGGTCTACAATGTTATCCTCTGGACCTCTCAGCCTTTTGATCCCAGGATTTGCTCTTTACAAATGATTCTAAAGATGCTGCTGCAAGAAAACTACAAATAAGAAGGAGCTCTGCCAAAAACAACATGTATGACACTCTAACAAAGTCATGGAATGACAAGAACATTACGCTGGATCCTGCTGTTCGACAGATGTGGACTGTTTTTTTTTTTATGAGCGAGAACTAGGTCAAAACTAAGACACATGCCAAACTGATTTAGGGCATTAGGGACATGCACTTAAAGTTTGTTTTTTTTTTTTTAAAAACAGCCTTTGCAATAAGGATTATTTATTTGATGGTGGGATTTCTGTGGCCTTATTTGGTAAAAAATTCTTTTGCATTAGATTGATTTTCAAGTATTGTATTTTATGTTTTCTGTGTTGCAACAATGACATATTATAAATCTTTATTTTTAACTGTTATTGTATTTTTGTTTTTTTCTGAACATCTGCACCATAAAACATGTGCTTTCTTTGTTACTCTTACTTGCTGAGCTTAATCTGAACCGACTGGCCAAGCCTTAGGCATTATTTAATTTAAGTGCATTTTTAAAAAGTGTATAAGTTAAAAGAATATATATATATATTTCTATAATAGTGTGTTTAATGCATTTAATCACTGAAATACATTCAGTATTATACCTTTCAGCCACTTTATCTCTCTACAAAGAAGATTATAACAACATTAGTGGCATAATGTCTTGAAAACCTTTTTCACTGTATGGAAGTTATTTTTCCATTACTGTTCTGTAACACAGCCTGATGATCACATATGACGACAAAAACCTGCACACAGATGTAACAAAAACGATGAATGTGTGTCACGAAAGCTAGATATGTTTGTTCAGTGGTATGGACTGCAGTTTTCAAACTACATTTACTTTGAAATGACCATCAGTATGTCTCACTGTTTTCTTTTAACACTGTCATATGACAACATAACTTAAAAAAAAAAGAAAAACTCTCAGTATTCTTTTGTGAAAAGATGAAATGACCCTGATCCCTTAGAGACAGGAGTCTATGCAGATAGAAACAAACTGATTGTATTTCAGCAGTGTAAAAATACTCTACCATACTGAATAGTAATAGTCCTGCAAGAACAGCAACATGTAGTTAAAGTATTAAAGTAAAAGTGCTGGTTTGGTTCAGGGAAGCATCAGTGTGTCAGCAGCGTGTTACTGTTGTAGCTGCTGCAGGTTTAAACTACTGTATTTGCAGTTTTAAATACAGAGACAGAAGATGATGAACCTTATTCAGGACTTTTGGGGTCTTTTGGACCATATTGCAACACGAAAGTCCTGAATAGAATTAATGGGAGAGGATAGAAGTAAACACAGTTTGACTTGGTGGAGATGTTAATACCTAATTAATATCTAATATATTATCTCAACTGCACACTGCTGTTTGTCTGACATCAAAAGCCACAACGGTTTTTAACCACTGGCTTAACCCTTAGCAATGTGTTGTATTTTAAAAGCTTATGTTTTTGCTTATGCGTAAAATCTTAATCTTAAAACTCAGCGAAACTATCAACAGATGTGGTGGAAAGCACAACATATTCAAGTACTCAATATTTGTACTTTGTTTTTGTTTTTTAAACTGTAAAGAGAAAAATGTGATATAGCAAATCCTGTATAATTACACTTTTTGATTTTCCTGTTTGAAACAAGCCAAAGTGATTCCTGTACATAAAAGGTGAGAGCTGAAGGGTCACCCACCGAGGTCTTGTGACACCACATAGTGAAACGTCGCTTTGTGTACGGTAAGTTCGCAAGGATACGCGTCTATAAAGGCATTTTACAACAATAGTGACGCACACACACAGTTCACATGGACATATGTGCATCCTAAAAATAACCCAAGATATGGCTGATATGGACTTGCAGTGGAAATGCAGCAGTCTGTAAATGCTGACACCAGTCTTTCTTTTAGTTAATAATTGCATTAGAGAGGAACACCGATAAGGTTTATACGCTCTGTAAATTGCTTGAGGATCCTACTGTAGGAAAACACATTACGTTACAAATACAGACTTTAGAAATCCTTTCTAAAACACTGGCGTTTTAAACAATTATTAGAATGATTATCACTGAAAGAGCAAATGTGAATTTACGGACTCGGAATTGATCTGCTTTGATTTGATCGGATTTCTCAAGGACTGAAAATAAGGCAGATGATTAAGATGCACGAGGATGGAAAGCCTGCTGCCTCCAACTGTAGACTGTATTCTTTCTGTCTAACAAAGTGAGAGAAACGTGTGCAGTTTGTTTCAGATACGCTTGTTGGTCATCAATAAAATGCTACATTTGAGAGAGACGATAAGAGCGTTCAAGTATAAAGGTTGCTCATTTTGCATCATTCCAACATCACATTGTCATATTTCTCCGATAATAATTCGTAAACCCGTGATAACCGAGCTCATCCTTTATGAAAATTTGTTGGTAACAGCATTTACTGTAATGCATTAACCATTATCAAGAGGGTTGGACCCTTTTCCGCATAAACATGCTGAGCTTACATAATGTATCACAGACTGTAACGAGCCACTGATAACTGAGCTGTAGGTGCCACAGGTCACAGTTAATACCTCAGTGTCCTTTACTTAGACATACAGTAAGGCGTCAGTGGGAGAGACAGTCCACAGAGAATCAGTTCTGCAGAGAGGAGGCGATTACCTTCGGAAAGCACAACGAGTCTTGAAGGTTTGAGAACATAGCAGAACCAGCAACTGGGAGACTCAGCAGCTGCAATTTTTTCAGTTCTGCATCCAGTGAAGTTTTAAAACAGCCACCATGAAGCTGAAGCTGAAGCTCCCAAACCCGGGACTGGATGACAGGATCCCCACTCACGAACAGCTGGAGGTGATGGAAAAGGAAGAAGCTGATGGGAGGCCCAAATGGGACAACAAAGCCCAGTATCTGCTCACCTGTGTGGGCTTCTGTGTGGGACTTGGTAACGTCTGGAGGTTTCCATACCTGTGTCAAAGCCATGGAGGAGGTAAGCGGAGATAACTACGTTTGAAAGATTTCAGAATTTAGACGAGTCACCAGAGGGGGACAAACGTACTTTCTACAAACTAGAAACTCTTCTTTTTAAAAAAAAAAAAATCTTATTCAAGGAGATGAAAGCACTAAAAATTACATCTTTTAAGGTCACAATCAATTTTAAACAAATCAATTATCTGAAACACTGAGTAACCCGAGTTTGGTTGAAAGAGCATAGATAGACTGTCAGCATATCAGAATTCTACCTTAACCATTATGGAAATGCCTTTTTCCCTTTTGCAAGACTGATAAATCACCAGATCTGTTTACTAAAAATGCATTTTGTCGGTTTGCATAGATTTGTTAATTTTTATATATTAGAACTACAAGAATAAAATAAACTTCCTTTGGTCAAATTTTATCATTATGTGAAAGCGAAGGTCTGAGTTTTATTCATAGTTTGTAAAATTTTATGTGTCTGTAATAAAGCAAGTACAAAGCTTTTTACTGTTTATGGGTGTCTTTATGGGAACACGTCTGTGAGTGAAGCTGACTGCTGAATATTTGTTAAAGTGACAAATTAAATGAATGACACCATGTTGCTAACTCATTACCATTGTGCCTAATGTGCTTCTAGGGGCGTTTATGATCCCGTTCCTCATTCTGTTGGTTCTGGAGGGAATCCCGCTGCTGCACTTAGAGTTTGCTATTGGTCAGCGCCTGAGGAAGGGCAGCATGGGAGTGTGGAGATCGATCAATCCTTACCTGACGGGAGTCGGTGTGTACTAAAAAGCCTATACATTTGGTTGTTTGTTGCTTTGTTGCAGCAAAGATTCAAGGGGTGTCAGTAGTTTTGGTCTAAGTCATCCTTGGTTCTGACTGAACTTGAATTGATTAGCATGAAACTTTGTACAGACTTTGATGATCCCCAAAAGATGGATCTCAGTGAATTTTGGTGATCCTCTGACTTTTCCCATATGGTTTACTTTCATGGCAACAAGAATTCAATAGATTGCTGTAAACTTACAATATATAGACTTTTGGTAAACAACCATATTGAAAAATTTAGAATGAATTGTAGTCCCTCATCAGGTCAAACGACTGCCAAACCTGTTGCTCCCACCACCCTCAGATGCTCTTGGTGCTATTGACATGCTAACATGCTAAAACTAAGATGGTGAACATGGTGAACAATATAGCTGCTTAACATCAGAATGCTACTGTTGCACCTTTGCCACATTTTTTCTTTCTGCTGCAGGTATCGCATCCATGCTGGTCTCACTTTTGGTGGGCGTGTACTACAACACCATCATGGCCTGGATCATGTGGTATCTCTTCAATTCCTTTCAGGATCCTCTGCCTTGGAGCCAATGTCCACTCAATGCTAACAACACAGGTACGCCATAATCCACCAAAATGCGTTGTGCAGTTTGTGGTAACAATTTCTTGGAAAGCTGCTGACACTGCGTTGCTGTCTGTGTTTTAAAGGCTACGTGGAGGAGTGTGCACGAAGCAGCACGACCGACTACTTCTGGTACAGAGAGACTCTCAACACATCGTTGGCTATTGATGAAGCTGGCGGTCTGCAGTGGTGGATGGTCCTGGCTCTGACCGCCGCCTGGACTGTTCTCTATGTTTGCTGCATCCGTGGCATTGAGACCTCCGGCAAGGTGTGGAAGTCGCATTACATCTGACACATGACCACATGATTTCTGCATATGCGTTGGTTCAAATATTGAATTAATTCTGATTACTTTTGGGTCATACGGCTTTCTTTCACTTCTCAGGCTGTGTACATCACCTCCACCCTGCCTTATCTTGTCCTCACCATCTTTCTCATCAGAGGATTGACTCTCAAAGGCTCTACAGAGGGAATCAAGTTCCTCTTTACACCAGATGTAAGCAAAGATGTTACACACCAACCCAACAGCTGTCAGCATAATTAATATCGTGCAATTTCACCATCATTTGTTGAGGGGAAAAGTCTCATTGTGTCCTGGAGTGGTTAGGTCTGTTTGCCAGTTCACGGTTTCCACATGACTGATGAAGACTTTAACAGCTGACAATGGTCGCACATGCCGCTCTATTCATACTGCAAAAGATACACATGGGTCTGCTACACAGCTGGTCTTGTTAACCCTCATGTCGAACATAGAAAAGCCACACAGGACTCCCACGGAAAGAGTTCTGTGTGCAAAGAAAATCAGAACTTTCTACTTTGTTTGGGTACCATCGATGGAAAGCAAGTACAAATCAAAGCACCTCTAAAGTAAAACATAATTTGGCCTTGAGGCTACAGCTTGCAGTCAGCTTGTTAGCTTAGCTTAACGTAAAGACAAGAAATAGGAAGATAGATTAAAAGAAGTTAAGATAAGGCTTAGCACATGAACCCTTGTTAAACCACAATTTCATGTACAGTTTTTATAGGTTAGGGCCTGTGGGCAAGCTACTTGGAAAGTTTTGCAAGCTAAGCTAGCAGTAGCACTGCATTAAAAAACACTTTATTATAACTGAAGCTACCAACAGAGAAATGTAACAAACTAAACTACACCAGCATGGAAAAAATAGGTTACTATATCCTAAAGCAATTTTTTTCTTTTACTTATTTATTACATTATATTTTGCCCATTTGCTGCCTATAGACAACGAGAAACATGTTGTTAGCTGCTAACAAGTGCCTAGCTGGTGTTAGCGGACTGCACTAAAGACTGATAGGCTACATCACGTGGACATGCTTTCGTTGGCGACACATATGTTTGAATGAATTTTTTGTTAATCAGGCAGATTTACAGCAGCAGATTTCTTCTAACGTTGCTGTTTCTTCGTGTCTCTAGTCTTCTAGCCCTCTACATTAAAAAGTGGTATCAATCATCTTCTCTTTTAAAGGCTATTCTTCAGGACGGTTGCTGTTCTGAACACCCCGTGTCCTCTCGTGCGCAGAAACATTAGATAACCACCATGAATGAATAAATTATTTTATTACAGTGTTTGCAATAAACTGTCAGCACAACACTGATAAAAGCTGATAATGAAGGTTGAAACACAGTGCAGACAATACTTAAAATTCCAATACAAAGGCTAGATAACATCTTTAAAGCCATTTACCGAATGCAATTGAGCAACAACCACTATTGTTCAAATTCCCATTTTTCTCCTGCTTTTATTGTCTATCCCGGAAAATTGAACTTGAGATAAAACAAAACCATAATCATGGTTTAGAAAAGCTTCAAGCATTAATTATTAACAGTGGCTGTGGTAGAGAACGCTTACTGTCAGTTTTAAATATTTAGCAGACGGCCGTACGCTTATTGTGAACATACTGTATTTTTTCCCATTATAGGTGGATGAGTTAATGAATCCAGCAACCTGGCTGGATGCAGGGGCTCAGGTTTTCTACTCCTTCTCCTTGGCTTTTGGAGGTCTCATCTCCTTCTCCAGTTACAACTCTATTCAGTGAGTAAAAGTCTTAATTGCACAGTTACAGGGGAACCGTCTGTTCAGCAGTTCTTTTCACACAACGTCCTCTTTCACATGTTCTTGCAGTAACAACTGTGAGCAGGACGCCGTTCTCATCTCCATCATCAATGGCTGCACCTCCGTGTACTCTGCAACAGTTATCTACTCCATCATCGGCTTCAGGGCCACGCAGAACTATGACGACTGCATGGCAGAGTGAGCTTCAGATCGCCTTAAAGAATGCACGTGAGTTTGATCCACTTCGACCAGACTGTTGTCAATCTGTCTTTTCTTCTTTGCAGCAACATCATGAAGATGCTGAATGCTTTCAACTACCCTGAGAACAGCATCACAGACAGCAACTACAACGAGGCCCTGATCCACCTCAACCAGACAAATCCAGGCATCATCCAAGGGTTGGACTTACAGGAATGCAACATTCAGACTTTCCTCAGTCAGGTTGGTAGAAAGCTTGTTTTATTAGTGGCACGAAAATGATCGAACATCGAATCAGTTCTTGAAATGCACGGCCTATTTTCCTTCAGGGTGTGGAGGGAACAGGTTTGGCCTTCATCGTGTTCACAGAGGCTATCATCAAGATGCCTGTTTCCCCTCTTTGGGCCGTCCTCTTCTTCATCATGCTCTTCTGTCTCGGCCTCTCCACTATGTTTGGGAACATCGAGGGAGTGGTGGCTCCTTTGCAGGAGTTCGGAATACTGCCACGAAGCTGGTCAAAAGAAATCGTCTGTGGTAATTTTCTAATATTTCCTACTGAATGTAAAACACATTTGCGTGTCCACATTAGAAAATCTGGGGTCTAACCACTTGTTTGTGTTGTTTTTTCAGGCTTGACTTGCCTAGTTTCTTTCGCTCTTGGGCTCATATTTGCTCTACGCTCTGGGAACTACTGGCTAGCTCTTTTTGACAGCTTTGCGGGCTCGATACCCCTCCTGGTCATCGGATTCTGTGAAATGTTTGCCGTCATCTACATCTATGGTGTAGACAGGTGAGTCGGTGCTCATTAGTAGGCACCGGTGTCTAAACTAATACCTTTTTAGCAACTTGAGGAGCTTTTTAATAAGAGATTAGTAGATTTAGTGAATTATGATCCCATTTGAAGTAAAATAGAGGATCAAACAGGGTATGCCTTAGGGCGGGTTTACCTTGTCATTAAGAGGTTGCTGATGTATCGCTGTTTGCTTGTTACGTCTGCTTTCAAAAGACCAAGATAGCAGCAAGCAAATTCCAAACTATTCAAAAGTGATAGTTCACAAACCAATGGGTGTGCTCACTGTAGCCAGGGCCATCTTTTAAATACAGTCACCAAGCTTCTTCTTTTTTTATATATAGGACACACCAAAACTTTTCTTGTGTGGAAATGCTGCCACAGAAAGCAGATTTAAAACTCTACGCCACAAAATACTGAGACATTCACCTCTGGCTTTCAGTATTATTATTATTATTATTACTACTACTGCAGTTTGTCACGGCATTCCTGTGACAAATACCAACATGGGCAATAGAAAGAATGCATCCATCCAGGCAAAAAAAAGGTGAATTGTGTGTCTGAACTCCTTGAATTATACGACAGACAGAAAGCTCTGTCTTGGCAACAGGAAGGCAATATGTATAAACATGGCTGAAGTCTGACATGTGTCCTCCCTCATTAGGGATACACTCTATTAAATTTTCTTAATTGAGGCAATGAGGTAAAAAGGTATCATAATGATGTCGTCTCACTGGAAGTTTTAGAAGTTTTCTTTGTCCTCCACGGCTCCCCCGGACGATGCACTGAACCCAGTTGTGCGTGCAGCAGAAACCATGTTGTTTCCTGCGCTCTCTGTCAGATCTGCTGCTTTTTTTTACATGAGGCAGACATGAGTCCTAAAGAGGACTGTGTTGTTAACAGTACTGTCTTCTGACCTTGGATCAGAGATAATGTGTTACAGTCATTATGGAGAGATAAAAAAAAAAGAACAGAGTGTGCCTTGTGATGTTATGGTGAGGAATGTGCAAAATCTGTATTCTGTTAGTTTTAATAGTTACTGTTGATGAAGGTAGTAAACACGTGATTTTAACTTTAGTTGTATATTAAAGTTAATTTTAATTCATAAATTATGCCAAATGTGCAAAAGATGTGTCATTTTTTTGTGACACAAAGTTATCTCAGACAAAAGACTGGAGTCCACGTCGGTATCACCCGCCGAGCTAACAGCCACACGTGCTGCCATATTTACAGGAGCTGATAAAAGCGCAAGGTCGTCTTTTATGGACGGTTTCATACATGCTCAGCTGCATTAAGTCTTTCTCCTCACTGCTTCCCAACAGGTTTAACAAGGACATCGAGTTTATGATCGGCCACAAGCCCAATATTTTCTGGCAGGTGACGTGGAGAGTGGTTAGCCCCCTCATCATGGTCGTCATCTTGATTTTCTACTTTGTTACTCAAGTCACCAAAAGTCTCACCTATCAGGTCTGGGACAAGGATGCGGTAAGTGTGTTTCACAGTAGCTTCATAAAGTTTCAACAATCAGGTTCAACACAATAGCAGCCAGAAGACTTTTACATGTGTTATTGTATTAGAAGTTAAACAGGAAATGTTTGTTCCTTATCTTTAATTACAGTTAAAAACAAGTCATTGTTATTTTGTTATGTTGCTATATATATATATATATATATACTAAAATGTTATTTGAATCTGACCATAGGACGTCTTTCCCACCCTTGACGCACGTGACTACCCCTCCTGGATCTACGTCATCATCTTCATCCTGGCTGGAATTCCCAGCCTAGCCATCCCCTTTTTCGCTCTCTACAAACTCTTCCAAAGGAAATGCTGCAAGAAGAAGAAATACTCTGACTTTGATGTGGACACCATCTCTGCCAAAATGAAGTTTTAGATAAATTGTACTTGGACTATTAAATGTGATTGTGGACTTATTGTTGTATATTAAGCATTTACCTGTTGTGTACAAGACTTTAAAGGAGACAGTAATATATATATATATATAATGCTTTTCATACCTTTGTAATATTAAGGCTTTTCTTTCTGTGTCATGTTTCACACGTCAGTCTACGTTGGACATTCAGAGAATAGTTGGACATTTGGTGAAATATGCTCAGTATGAAGCTACATAACAATCTGGTTAGTTTAGCTGTTGTTCCATGTTCCAAGATAACAAACACCTCTAAAGCTCATGTCAGCTTTGGGATTTTAAATCTTCTAATTTATTCTTTTTAAGACATAAAAAGGACTATTTTTTTCAAATATCTAACTGTTCTTCTAATGTTGTAAGTTTACTAAATGCATGTTTCTCATATATACAGATAGCATATTGTTGTATGTTGTAAATAATCCTCCACAGAGGAAATAATTCTTGTTAAAAACTTTCTATATACTGTAATGATAACTTTAAGCTAAAAAAGAACACTTTATGGCATCAGTGGCCTTCTGGCCCACGTTAGTGTTTTTTTTATAGTGTTTTGTGGCCTATTATTAAGGATTATTGTAAGGTTTTAATGTATATTACAGCACTGCACTTCCTCTGCTATAAACTGTTGTAATCTGTTCTCTAATCTTCTGTTCAGACATAAAAGAAAAATTAAATGGTTACCATTTTTTTTAAAATATGTGCCATCAAAATAAAAAAAAGCCAAATATGATCAAGTGGTTCTGCTGTTTTAATGATTTTTCCTGGCAGCACAGTTTCATTTTTCATAAAAATACAGAAATCTCATTTTAATTTCAATTTATAACACTGACATTTTGAATAAAGCCCTTCAAAATAAGACAAAACAATGACGACACTCATTTCTCACCGAAGCTTCTAATCTTTGAATTTTTGTTGTCGGTGTTTCGAATCTTTTTCCTTTACAAACACAATAAAAAAAGGACAAACGAACAGAGTGTACCCTGGTTCATCTGTGCAACAGATAAAGCAAAAGACCATAAAGCTGTTTCAACATTGCTGAATGCACCCGGGGATGTTCATATACATACACTGTAAAAAAAAAAAAAAAAAAGTCAAATTTACGGTAAAATACCAGCAGCTGTGGTTGCCAGGAAAGTACCACTAAAAAGGGGGGAATCCGTACAAGACAAAACAGTATATTGGATAGGTAACATTAACTTTTACTGTAGAAAACATGTTTTTTCTGTAGAAAAAATGTTGACACAAAGTTTTGATCAATGCAGTGAATGCAAAAAATGCTCAAAGATAAATAAAACCTTATGTCAAAATAAGCTCCCATGAAAAATGACTTCTTAAGTGTTAAGTTTGCTAAATCTGTTCATGAGAAAGTGACATAAAGACATAAAACAACCCAAAACACTAATTTTCAGCTGTAAAACAGTCACTATTAATTTATCATGGAACTTGAAGTTTATGGCTCAATAAAGCTGCAAAAAGACTGCGCCCCTTCCATTCAATCTATATTTTGTACTGTTAGCTTCCTTTAACAGCCTACCTGGACCATGAACCTGAGCTAAGCAGATAAAAGTTTGCATTTTCTGCCCCCAAGTGAACAATACCACTGCCTACCTCTTACTGAATCTCAAAGACGGGTGAGTCTCATGCAGACCAGAAAAGTAAAAGAAATGTTTAAAAAAATTGTTTTCTTATTAAAAAATTAAAATAAATGTCAAGTTTCCAACAAATTCTAGATTTTTGAGGGACTTTTGGAGGCAAATAACCAAGCTAGGCAGAGGATGGCAGAAACAGAACTTTTAAATGTACTTGGGATTTTAGGTAAATGAACAAAGCGGTACAAGACAGAAACACAGTCCCTAAAATGCACACATTTTATATTACAATTAAATAACTACGGTCACATTCAATAACATTAAAAGCGAGGCCATCCAAGTGGCCAAACTAGTAAAACACATACCAATAATTTCCAGCCAAGGTTGGATTCCGTCTTCATCTGTCATCTTCTTCTGACGCTGTTCACAAAAACAGAGCTGTACTACAAAGAGATGGAGAAAAAAACCTTTTAGAACGTTGTTTAAAAAATTAATCAATAAATAGTTTGGCTTTAATACGGCTTGAAATCTCACCATTTCCTTTCAAAGAGCCTTTGAATCGTTTCCTTAAGGTCGCAGTTCAAATTCAGGGCTTGAAAAGAGCCGGAATGAGACACCTCGCTTCTTGCTCATTAAGACAAAATAAGATTTAGACAGCCGACAAATGAGTAAAATATCAGAGATACGTGTTTATTTAACCAATCTTGAAAGACATTCTCATGTCTTAGCTGTGTCACCACCCTTAAACTTTCTTTTCTTTTGTCTATGTGTCAGAAAACCACTGAAGAACAATCTCAAGTGTCCTTCAGTGGCCGTTCTGTCGTCTTCAACACAGTCTGACCTTTGCAAAATCACTGCAAAACATTTTACAGCTTAACTGATAAGGTTCTACTTATTATTCTCACATTCATCTCACAAAACCATTTTCAGGAAAACATGACTCGCAAAAAGAAAGAATACTGCTTCAAAATATAAATGACATACAACATTACAAAGGCAAAGTTATGACTGGGCTGAAGTCATCAAGCCAAAATGCACAATAAGCAAGTAGCAGGACCTTAGTGCTATAAAATGCTGCCATGTTTCCCTTGAACAAAAGTTGACACGTAAAATTAAACCAACAGTGCTGTTCAAACCTCAGTCTTACAATTTCAGTTTAGAAAAACCACCTTATTGTGTCTCCGAACTTTAGTCACATGTACTTTAAGCCAGCGGTCCCCAATCACCGGGCCGTGGACCGGTACTGGGCCGCACAGAAAGAAAAAAAAAAAAAGTTCTATTGTTTTATTTTTATTTCCAGCGCAGTCTACAGGATGTTTTATTTTGAAAAATGATTAGCTCGTCTTCCCGTCACTTCCATCTATGGTTGTTTTCCGCACTTGAGAGTCAGTTTTCATGCTCGGCTGTTAAACCAGTGATTCTCTGACTGTGACATGACCATAGACTGTATAAAAGATGGACGTAGCTACCGTGACGTCACCCGTTGGTTTCTGCACTGAGAAAATGAAGCCAGGGTTTTGCTACTTCCTGGTTGACATCTTGGATTTTTGCAGCCAGTGATGCAAAAATCGTCGGAGGGGGGCGGAGCCATAGGAGCAGCGATTGGTCAGACGGATTGAGAGGCGGGCCCTCTCTGCCCGCCCACATTTACCACCTTATGCTCGCTTCATCTGTATGGTCGCTGCCGACTGTCAATCAAGCCAGCCACGCCCCTTACCCCGCAAAATGTTGACGATTTTTTAAAAATTCAGTATTGATTTATTTTCAGATTGGCCACCTGATCTCTGGACTTGACCATGAAAAGTAATTTTAAAAAAATCCTGAGCTGTAGGAATGCAGTATTTCATGATCTGTGATCACTTCTTTTCCAATTCATTTCTATGGGAGCCAGGGCTTTTTGGGGCCAGGACTAGTGGACGTAGTGATACTGCAGGTTTTTGACACTTCCGGGTTGGCTTCATTTTTCAGGGCCGGTTGCTACGTCCATCTTTTATACAGTCTATGCTACGTACACACAAAAGGCACACCGGACTGTAAGATGCATTAAGAAAAACAACACAGTTCGGCAAATCAAACTTTATTTAACTCAGTTGTAACAACAAGTACCGGTACAGAAAAATATAATGTTCCTTCCTCTTCCACAAATCCATCAAATTCTTCATCTTCAGTCTCTGAATTAAACAGCTGTTTGATGTCGGCATCAAACTTGCCCGGATCCCTCTCTTCATCATCCGAGTCAGTCTCGTTGCCGGTACTTGGCTGTTCGGTGACGATTCCAGCTTTACAAATGTATTGCAATATAATGCTGAAGCACCCTACGCATTACGTATAAAAAGTGGCGGGGTTAAGCGTACTAAGTACTGTTGTCTGATCGGTTTATTGTTGCCAGCACGTACTCCGTGTTTTGCTGGAAAAAGCCCCCCCTCTGTGACAGTCATTTGCCTGTAGATGAAAAAAAAAAAAAAAGTCTAACAGTAATATTTAATATTTGTCTGTACATGGTCACGTGGAAATAATGAGAACAGCAGGGACAGATTTGGTCTGAGCTTACTGAGAAAAGTTAAAAATTCACCCCTCCAGATTTACTGGGGAGGGGGTGGTGCATATTCTGGTAGTAGGGTCTGCACCCCCCTCTATTTCTGACCCCAAAGGACTTAAAGCCACCAAATTCACAACATTTATTGGTGATCATGGTCTGAGCATAATCTGAAAAGTTCAAAATGCTGGGACCAACAGGGACAGATTTATTTATAATTATTTTATTAACCATATGCTACAATTTGTTACAGTTTTGAAATGCTGTGCAGGAGAAAATAGACTTTTTGTAGCCACTGGTGCTGTGAAACTGAGTTGAGCCGCACAAATTTAAAGACCTCATCTTTCTTGCCAAATTTCTGCACTGGTTTTTGTTTCTTTGCACAGGTTGCACCTCATGCTTTAAGGATGAACCCAGATTAAACGTACTGTTGTTGTTATTGTTCTAAAAAGGTGTTTGCACATTTCCTTATATTTTTATTGGAGAATGCAGTCTGATGGAGTTGAAATTGAAGGTATTTTCTTATTTGCACAGCAGACTGAGATTGTTTTTTGCAATAAAAGGTAAACTTGACCCATTTTGTAATAATTTTGTTGGGGTGGGGGGGTCTGAAATGTTTTCCTCTTACAAAGGGGGGCGCGACAGAAAAAGTTTGAGAACCACTGAGTTAAACGAAGCCGTCAAAATGGACAAAAAAAAAGCAAACGTCTCCGGAGAGCTTCTTTGGAAAGTGGGAAAGACTCAATGCTGAGACAGAAGAAAAAGTAAACACATATGTAACAAGTAATTTTATTCGTTCGTGAAACTTCTTAATACAAAAAAACTATTATTTTGTTATGTGTGCAATGATCGATCCGTAGAAAAAATTTGTGCGTAAAACCGGTCTGTAGTGCAAAAAAGGTTGGAGATCACTGCTCTACAGTGTACATGCTGTGAAATTAAAATAAAAATTATATTTTAAAAAAATAAAAGTGTAAGGTGTTTTTTTAAAGAAAGGAAATCACACAAAAACAGAAATTGTACGACACTTTTCTTCTTTGGTTCTCAGGAGGTTAAACAGTAAACCAGCAGTTTAGCTGAAAAACAACAACCCTCACACAATCCTGACATTTAAGGCGGACCCACTTAAGGTGGACGTGAGGCATCCATCCATTATCTATACACTGCTTAATCCTCACTAGGGTCATGGGGGGGCTGGAGTCTATCCCAGCTGACTGAGGGTGAACGCAGGGGACACCCTGGACAGGTCACCAGTCTATCACAGGGCTACACTTAGAGACAGACAACCAAGCACACTCACATTCACACCTACAGACAATTTAGAATCACCAATTAACCTCAACATGTTTTTGGACTGGGCTGCAAGGTTGGTAGCATTGTGGCCTCGTAGCAAGAAGTTTTGCATCTCAGTGGGGGCATCAGGATCTTCCTGCGTGGAGTTTGCATGTTCTCCCCGTTAATCTTTATTCATTTCACTATTTTGTCATTTGTGGAAGTTAAATGTTTTTCTATGATAAGATACCACTTTCATTTTTTTTTGTCTTACTGCTGATGTTTCCC